GATTTTGTAAAATTTTATATAACTTTTCTTCTCAGTTTAACCCAATCTACTATAATCTTTGGGATTGTCCATATCGAATCTGACACCCTGTATAATAATTATAATTAATATTCCCGCCTAGCAATCTGCGTTATCCGCTCAGCCCCCAAACGTGGAGATCGGCTACGTAGTTGGTGTCGACGTTTTCAATGTCCACAGAGGGCGCTCTCTCTCAAGAGAAGTGAACTCTAGCACAAATAAAACTAAATTTTACGTGACAACATTGGCAATGCTGAACAAACTTGGCTGTTATTGTTGTGTATATACCTGGTTATTTGGAGCGTTGTAATATCGGATCGATTTCATTCTGTATTTCCCAATTTTATTCATGTTATAGCCTGCATTTAAACGATTATCCACAAATTGAAAGCATGTCGACGAAATCTCCAGTGGATTTGCGCTCGGAGCTGACGGAATTAGTAAAACGTAAAGCCGAAATCGCTGTGAGTATCCATGTACAGATTTCTCCTGCATACAACGTAAAATGTCATTACACGCTTATACGTGTGCAAGATGGAAAATTCTTAACATCTCCACTTAAATAAATAATCAACAGTTAAGTGTACGTAACAGTGTGTCTACGTATGTATATGTGATTTATCAAGCTACGAGGTTAGGAGTTATACTTTTCAAGAGGCAAGTTGTACAAATACTTGGTTGACTTTTTGCAGGAAACGTTAGCCAACTTGGAACGTCAAATATACGCTTTCGAGGGAAGCTATTTGGAAGACACTCAGTTGTATGGAAATATAATAAGAGGTTGGGATAGATATTTGGCGAGTAATAAAAATACAAACAGTAAAGCTGACAAGCGTAACAGGAAATTTAAGGAGGCAGAAAGATTATTTTCTAAATCCTCCATTACATCCATGGCAGTAAGTATCAACTGACTCTTGCGCAACATGTGTACATTCTCTTTTCTACACGATGTTATCTTCTTACAGGCGGTTAGCGGACTCGTTGAGAATACGCAAGAAAAAAGTAAGGACCTGAATGGATATTCATGATTATAAAAATACTGTCTTTATATTTTGTACACTTTTCTTTATTATTCTCCTTTCTGTAGAAATAATAGCACTTTCAGTTTTATAAATATGTTTCCTAGCTGTTTTCATTTAATTCAAATTATTCCCTGATATTGTGTTATTGTATTATTGTCTTATAAATAGAATACATCTGCACATTATGAGATCTCGTTGTTTGCTTCACGTCTGAAAGAACACGGGTTTTTACTATCCGATGCTACGGGAAAACTAAAGTTGCATTCAATTTCATTGAGTATCACTATTAATGCAGACTGAGTTTATGTGTGACAGCGATGCTCGAGCGATTAGTTATTCCAGTAGAATTAGTTTCTATTTTTTTTTCTTTCTTCATTTTCCTCATTTTCCTCATTTTCCTCTTGATCTCCAAGTAACACTGCATGTATCTCAAGATACAAATTTATTACAACGATATGAGAGAGATGATGCACCGTGGGAGAGGAATTCGCTTATGCACCTGCATATCTCCATCTGCGATCGATATATCTATTTTGCACTGCTTGCTTTCTCCCCATTTGTATGCATTTTATACCGTTAATATGAGATCCCTGCTTCCAGTTGAACGATACAGCGAATCAGAGTCTCAGATTGGAAATAGTGGCAGCGAGGACAATTGCAACTTTGGCAATTCAAATGCGATTCCTTCCAACAATAACAAAGAGGCTAGTGGGAAAAATCTTCATACTTCTATTCAATCTGGACATGTCCAAAATAGTGGCGCTCTTAATAGCTCGGACAATGCTTCGATTCAATTTACAAATGGATCAATGTCCAATGGAAATTTAGAACATATTACCACACCTATCAAAGAATGTCACAGTAATAGCAAAGACTCGAATAAAAATAAATCTGGAAATAGTGCGAAAAAGAATAGCAATAAAAGAGCTAGGAATAGGTAGAAACTCTGATATATTATCTATGCGTTAATGAGACATGTAATATTCATTATTTCTTGTATTATTAAGTGATAGCTACACGGACATTGTGTTATTTACATTTATTCATAAATGACAATTCTCTCTCTCTCTCTCACACACTTATAATCTTAATTCACATTTCACGTTGCACAAGTTGTCTGAAACTATCTGATTTTTGTATCGTGTGTATATGTATAATAGTGACAAGCACACACATTCCACAATTATGTAAATGTTTCTCGTGTGCGTGTGTGTGCGTGTGTGCGTGTGTTGAAAACTTTTGTGAAAACAGTATTAAAATAGAAGACGTATTCATGAGAACACATGTGTTGAAAAATGCGTGTAAAGCTCAACTGATTTAACAAGTTGCAAATTGTATGTAATTCTATATACACATGCACACTTTTTTTAATAAAATGGCTTATTCCACGAAATATATACAATATATATCGACTCAAAGTTTTAATTAAATTTAATTATCAACACTAGGAGATAACGTTATATCGAATTGCCGAACGGTCTTTACGTATGCGAACAATAAATAATAAAATAGATAAGAATAATAATAGTTAATAGTTGAAGAATAAAAAAAGAGATTTTCCATGTATCCCCGAGTTTTATGATCCTTTCGTACCAACGGAATGAAGAAATAAGGTGAATATATTGGTGAAAGGGATAAAAGGAGCTGTAGACGACAAAAGGTAAAAAGAAGTTGATATATTCAATGTATAATGTATACAAGAGTGAAATTGTATCAATAGAATGCAAAGGAAAAAAGGAAGCAGAAAAACCTATGGAAAGTATAAAGGAGAGGAAATAAAAGGAGATATTTCGCACGTGAAAAGAAGCAGGAGAGATTACGGTTTGAATAGAATTTTACGCCTGTCCCTAGCAAATATGGCAATAGGTACGAATGTTTTGACATCAACTGCAGATTTCGCGTTGATCGGAGGCTCGCTTCTAGTCACAACCGCATTGAAGCCATTACGATCGTCCGCCGTGTAAGAGACTGTGCGGATAGTTCCATCCGCTTCAACCACCGAGTATTCGCCTCTGACCGTATCTCCATCTCGCTCTTCCCAGGCTGATTTCGAGTCGCCGGTATATCCGTCGATCACGCCGTAATTGAAGGAATACTTGGGATATGCCTTGACAATGAGATAAAAATTCAATGTTGACAAAAGAAACGGCATTTAGTAGAGATGAGTTTTTACCATATATCGAACATCTTTCTCCAACGTCTTGGGCTCGGTAGCCACGACAGCTGAGGCGGATTTCACGATGGGCGGTGCAACGTATACCAGGGAAGATGTCCTTGGTAAAGGCTTGTATAACAAAGGCGCTGACACTTTAACGTAGGTAGGAGTCGTCGTCGGTTCATCAGGTCCATCAGGTTCGGCACACGCGACAGTTGGGGCTGTAGACGACGCCGAATCGAGAGGTGCGCACGAGAAGGCGTGCCTCGAGTTGCCGAGTGATCTATCGCGAGTATATATATTATAGGCTCTCCTAACTCGATAAATTTTTCTTTACATCACTTACCCTCGATGAGGAAGATTTCCTCGACTAAAGCTGATTGTCAGCGAGACGCAGAGAAGAAATATCTGGAGACGAGATATCAAAAATCCCGAATTATGAGCAAAACATTTTGAAATATTATTTGCAATACTGACCATACTACGGATAGTTTGTTGGAAATTATACTTGTACACAGGGAGAAACATCGCACGAGAGCAAAGACCTTTGTTGGTGGACAATCTCACACACACACACGTATACACACTTTTCCACTTCTCCGCGACGCGCGAAAAAGATATGACTGACGTTGAAAGTTGAAAGACGAAAGACGATCCCGGCTGTTGGATAGTTGGATTACGAGAATTGCAGCATCCTACGCGATACTCTTCTTTATATATACCGCGCGAACATTCACTTGCATTTTTGCTGGCCTATTGCGCCGCGCGATGCGATATGCGATTGCGCAGTTAGTAAACTCGCATGGGAACATCTTTATCCTTGCGAATGCACGCTTTCATCGAAGGGACGAGTGAATTCGCTTGACGTTCGCCACAATTTCCCAAGCAACCCACAAAAAAGCGCAATGTTGCACATTAATAATACGTAATCGTGAGATACAGATATACCAGATATGTAAATGAGAGAACTCGAACGTTTTCCATTGAAATATTTCCATTGAAACATTGACAATATTTCCAAGAGTTTTACATAAGGTTTTACATAAGATTTGTGATCGAGTGCCATCGCGAAAACGTCGTAAAGCGATCATTTTTCCAAATGATCTCTACGTATGTGTACAATACATGCATACATATTGGCGATTACGACGATCGAATCGAAGAGAAAGAGAGAGATCTACAAAGGCGCGACCTCCGTGACGAACAAATGAAACTCTATTGAAATCGATCGTAGATCGAGAAACTCGGCCGGTAATAGATATTAAGGAATCGATGAGATAGAAGGAAATGTTTTGTATTCTCTCAAAATTACACCCTTAACGATACTACGAAGTTTGATATCTCTCCGCGTTTTGCTTGGCGCATGCGATATCCTCTTGGCTCACCGACGCTTGTAATCCACAGGCTAGTTCTTCCTCTCTGATAAACGCAAGCTTCTCCGCCTTCTCTATATAAAAATCCTTTTGCAGTTGTTTCAATTCTCTTTTGTATGCATCCAATTTCTCTTGTACAAGTTTGTCACAATGCTTTGCCGTTAATCGCCGTAAGGAGTCCTTCCTAGTAATCTGATGTGGAAGTCTGTCAAAAAGAATAATCATTCTAGCAAGGTGCTAGCAAGTTGAGAAATTGCAATTTAGTTAAAGCTCTCACTCGGGTGCCGGCTTGTAAACCAAATTGAGCTTCTCCAAGACCCACTCGAAACGTCTGTAATCCCATCGTCGTAAGTATTTCAGCACTTTCCTTCGCTTCGCAATTGTCTCGACCAATTTGACTTTCATGGCCGTGTTCCTGGGATATTCTGTTAAATATTCTCGCAACTGATATATGTCACTGGTCATAATGGCGACTGAAAAGCACAAGAATATAGCAGATGTTAGAAAGCTTCTTATTAGACATTGCTACGTTACTTTGAGCTTCTGGCGATTTCCGATCTAATCTATGCCTTTTCACCAATTGCAAAATCTTGTCTCTTCTCACGTCAACTGTTTCTTTACGAGGTAGAAATTGCAGCGTAAACATCTTTTTAACTATATCACTGGCACTAACAAAAAAGCAATTTTAGCACAGAAATATCAACTTCAACTTGATTCTACCTAGTTACTTACTCTTTCAGTTCAGGTAGCTCGTTGTATATTTTGCCAAAATCCGATGATTTCACATCGTCTTTTAACCCTTGATCGCCAGACCTTTCAAGGGACAAATGCGAGAGCTTTTCTGGTCGTACCCAAGTAATTTTGTAGTCGGCTATAGTAGTGGCATACTTTCTTGCAAGGTTATTACCGTGCTTCAATATATTGGCGACCATCCTCGTCGTTTGCGTGTAATTATTTATTATTACATTCATACTCGTCTCTCTCTCTCTCTCTTCGATTCTTCAACAACAAACAATATATAAAATTTGACGCCCGATGATCTCGATATATTTCTGATCTAATGATTCTGTGATTCTGATGGCTAATGTGCGATAGTGTTATGGCAGCATTGGCAGCAGCGAGATTAGCGGAGACTCGAACCCCTCTTGCAATGTTCGACGGTCGACAAAGTCAATATAGTCTATGTCTCTCTCTCGTCTGATGACAGCAATGGCGCCCTGTCTGTCTACTACTCCCGTCTCTGATCAGTCTGGTCAACTCTAGTGAGAGCTTTCTCGCTTCTACGGAATTTCAAGGAGAAATGGCTTGTTCCGTTGTACGGTCGCCCGTTCTTCGTAGTCCTACGGTACGGCAAATTCAACAGCCATAGAGACCTTTTCTCTCTCGCCATTGACTTTCATTCTGTAATACAGGTGTTATGTAAATCAACGATACGTGTTGTCTCTAATCTTGCTTAATAATAATAATTTGTAATTCTGCGGGTGATTCTTTTATTATGATGAGAAATGAAATGTATTCCATTTAACCTTGCTTAATTAGGTGAGGCATTACGCAGCGGCCGCAGCTGCTCAATGTTCCAACGTTGCGACAGCAGAACTCGAGGTATTATCTGGCAATAAGGTGACGGTCGCTGCGCTCGACAACCATAGTCCCGTTGCTCGAGTATCAATCGTCTTCAGGTATGAAAATGATTTTGCGTAAATCGGTAGATAGATGTTACGATTACATAATGTCTTTTGGGCTAATGTCTAGAGCTGGCTCACGCAACGAGACGTACGATACGCAGGGCGCGACGCATCATATTCGAATCGCTGCTGGTCTGAGCACATGTGGATCAACTTGCTTCGGAATAACTAGGAATATCCAACAACTTGGTGGAAACTTAACCGCCACCACTGATCGCGAGAGCATCGCGTACACGTTACAAATTACGAGGAATAATCTGTAAGTCCTTTTAGAGAGATCCATACACGGTGGAGTGAAATAACTTTTAACGTTTAACGTTTAACGTTTGCGACAGAGGCAAAGCTTTGACTTTCCTAGAGGATGTCGCGACACAGCAAGTGTTCAAACCATGGGAGATATCCGATCAGCTACCCAGATTGCGCTACGAATTGTCCATGGTACCCGAGACAACACGTGTTATGGAATTGTTGCACAAAGCGGCTTATCGCACTGGACTAGGCTACTCTCTGTACTCGCCCAAGAGGCAGCTTGGAAAAATCAGCACGGAGACTGTACGTAACGTTGCCTATTGAAACGCGAAGCGCAGGAGAGAGGAGAGGGAGACAAATCTCTTTGCATTTGTACAGCTACAACATTTCGTCAATACCTGGTTCAACGGCTCGGGGTGCGCGGTCGTAGCAACGGGCGTCCCGATATCTGACGCTACACAATTTGCCTCGACTCTTAAAGTAGGCTCGGCAGACAATACCGTGGAAGCTGCCAAGTATCACGGAGGAGAGCTACGCAAGGAACGTTCCTCGGAATTGACCACTGTGGCGGTAGCTGTTGAAGCAGCAGGGCTTAACAAGGAGAAGGACGTTCTCGCTTATGCGGTGCTGCAGAGAGCGGTCGGTTCTGGTCCCCGTGTAAAATGGGGCTCCAGCGTGTCTCCGCTGCACAAGGCGGTCTCTGGAACGACGAGCGCCGACCAATTTGCCCTTTCGGCATTTAATGCTTCTTACAGCGATTCTGGTCTCTTTGGCTTTATTTTGTCCTCGGTACCCAGTGCCGCCGGCTCCGTAAGTTTTCACGCAACTCAAGATAACAAGATAATTGTCATCATGTTGCATTGTGTACCCGACAGGTAACAAAAGCCGCTACTGCGTACTTGAGGTCACCCAAGCTCTCCGATGCAGATATCGCGCGCGGTAAAGCTACGTTGAAAGCTGAAATATTATATGCCGCGGATAACGACGCCGCGTTTTTAGAAAACCTGGGACAGCAAGCAATTTTCAAAGGACGCATGTACACACCGTCTAATCTCGTTGCGGAAGTAGACAAAATAACTGCATCTGAAGTCAAATCGGTGGGCAATTTAACTTTTTCAACGTTTTCAATGGTATTATTACAGTTACATTTCTTTACTCTCAATACTTTCTCAGGTTGCCGGAAAACTTGCTGGCGGAAAATTGTCCATGTCTGCGATCGGCAATCTATGCACCGTTCCATATGTCGACGAATTGAAGTAGACTGCAATGAGAGTACAGCAGCACCGTTTACCGTTTACCGTTTACTATTTACCGTGAGAGCATTTCAGTTATGTTGGCTAGTTGAGAGATGTACACGAGTATGTAGAACTTGCGATATCAATAATAAAAGGGAATATCGCTGCTACGGTGTTAAACTTTTCGTTTAACGTGACAACACGCAAAGGAGACACAAAATGTGCGGCGTGTTGGTCTATCGAAAGAATTGATCTTGTACATAAAATTGAAAAAAAAAGTTATATTTTTCTCGCTTACATTTACAATACTTTTGTGCGTGCGTGCGCGTGTTGTGTACGCACATACTAAAGTACACTTTTAACAAGGATAAAAGACAAATTCGTTTATGGATCAACAAAATTTTATTTCCTCTATGGAGTAAAATTTATTCTGTCTTTTTGAAGACGCTCGCAATGGTTTTCCATTGTGGGTCCTGTCGATCATAGGCCTCAAGTTTGCTAGGTTTTGCATAAACTGAAACTGACGAAAAGAAAAGGATCAACGGTTGAGCTAGTGAGGGTAATAAAGAAGAGACTGTTTACACTTACATGGTCTTCTAGGATAGAATCCAGCCGATTGAAAAGCTCCAAAACGCGCGTGTCTTGGGACAATAAATAATGTTGATAGTGAGAATCGACAAGTACACAGGACCATTCGTACAACTGTTGATCACTCGGCTGTGAGTTATCGTCGAGCGAGTGAGTTTCCTCATTCAATTTACACATTAAATATTCCAACAGTTCAAGTACTTGGTCGAAGGTTAAACCAGTCTTGAGACGAGGTAACAAGGAAACACTGGAATAGCTGACACTAAACACTTTGCCGAGAAAGTTGTCTCTCGAATAAGGATTATTGGCTCTCGACGCAGCATCGGTCGTGCCGTTTTGCAGGGGAACGAATACTTTATCTGGACTTGTCAAGGTAAAGGCCAAAAGGTCGACCAGTAACTTTTCCGGTAAATCTCTAAACGTGTCGAGGCACCAACAGATGGACGCGACGTCGGCAGATTCCATCAAGAGCGGGATCAAGGTCTCCTGTATCGCGGCATCGCTCCAGCCCTCGTTCAAGTAAGAGTGGATCTTTTTCGAGATACTGAAAGGTATTCGACCTATTCTCGCGCAAGATTTCGTTTGGCTCTTGTCCCACTGAGCCACTGTCGCCTCTTGTATCACGACGATGTCGTTATCGGTGCTGCTACTAAAACGTAAAGACGAGCCCAACATGGCGGCTATCCTTTGCGGCGCGAGGTGGTAGAGCGCAACGGCCAAGTGTCTATTGGCCGCGAGCAATAATTTGTCCTCCACCTTCCAGAGCTTGGCATCGTTGGTGTAAAGTTTGAGCTTTTGCACCGCTTGCGCCGATTTGAATTGTACATTGTATATCATGAGTATCGCCCCCTCGTCCGTGACATCAGCGCCGTAAATCGCTATGGTCGTCTCGTCGAGATGCGTCATGACAGCGGGATACTTGGTATTGACATTAGTAATTACACTGATTAATCTGCTCGACTCGAAATCGGAAGACGTTCCCGTCAAAGGATGACTGTACAGCCTGCCGTGTGACCCTGAAATGAGACGAGACGTCAGTCAGCAAAAGAGAAATGTATGAAGAACGAGAGGAAATAAGGACGTACATAAAGTGAGGAGATACGCATCGTTCTTGTGGTGTATCAACACGTGTCCCGTGAGCTGCTCGGACTTTCGTATCAATTCTATCCTCCTGACGGTGTCGGGCTTCTCCAAGCAGGTCGCATCCTCCAATCCAACGACCACATAGTTGTAGACCTCCTCCACTCTGGTCAAGCAGAACAAGCTCGTCTTTCCGTTTACATGGATCAACTGACAATCCAACAATCTCTCCCTAGGCTTAATTATACCCTTGCTCGTCCACGTCTTCCTGTTGGCAAGGGCCCATTCCAGGGAAGCCGTAGCACCGTTTTGCTGGACGAGAATGGGCGACGAGCCGCCACACGGCAGTATAGCGTATAGTGGCGAGGGGAATTTGTATCCCTTGACGTTGTTCAGGTCTGCCTCCTCTTCCGACCAAACCCGTATCTTTCTCTCGTTAAAGGCAGCGACGTAACGTTGCTTGGACCTGTCGTAGATGACTTGCGTCGTCAATCTTTCCTTGCTGGACCAACTGCTGATCTGCTTAAGGTCTTGTAGCTGGAAAGGATCAATATCGTCAAGGATCAAGCGAAAGCAACAGTTGGTTGAAAATACAACCTTGTATCGTATCACTATATTCCTGCCGAGAGTGACTACCGCGGAGCCCGTCTCCTTGTCCCTCTCAACGCCCAGCAAACTCTGCTGATCGATGAGTGGACACAGCGTGTAGTACGAACTGAGTTTGGCCATTCTAACATGTAGAGCTGCTTTTAGATTGCTACTTGAAATGGATACCGCTGTACGTTACAAGGGATCGAGCATCGAGCACGTGCCTGCCGTCGTAAGGTCGCAAGGTCGCAACTGTCGCAAGTCGCCGTTCTAACCTCTTCTAACCTGACCACGCCGGGGCCCGTTTACGTTGTCCGACTCTGCCGATAAAATTTACATTATCGGCAGTGTCGAAAGATGCGTAGCAAAATAGTTGCATTTCCAGCCGTGTAAGACTACGCTCCAAGTTTCGCGCAATATTACGATATATGTATACTTTTGTATTTCAACAATTGATAAAAAGCAAAAGAATCTCTTTTGCGCGCGGCGACCGGCGAGCGGTGCACGCAAATATGGCAAATATGCGCACCAAGTTCTAGGTCTTTCGAAGAGAAATTATAAATTAGCGTTGAAAACGATGTATGTAAGCGTCAAGCGTTAATAATTCGGAATTTCCGAGTTCGGAGTTCGGACATCGGATTCATCGGAAGGCAGATGCGTGTTCTTGCAGATGTCCGACCACCCACCGTACATAACATAGTAACATCGTAGTCTGCGACCCCCGACCAACGACTGTGTACCGCACACAACACGATCAATAAAGAGATCAAAATCGGGAAAGCTAGTCAAAGCCGATGGACCGAGTGGGAGAGGTATTGTGGACATTGTGGTCATTGTGGAGCGCGGTTCGCTCTACCGAAATGCCAGGCCTTTTATAAATAGGGATGAAGACGCGCCCACTGGTCAAACTGGTCAAAGTGGCAGACGAGATTAATGTACACGGCGGTAGCGGCGGCGTATACTAAGTAAAATACATAATAATTTTACCGATAATGTACACACGTCGATATATTATATTATTGTATTCGCTTGACCGTTGAACTCGACTTTACAGAGACATCGGAGTCATTTAAATTCAGCATGGTTTATACAGATATTGCCAAGAGTTTGATTCATCCTGATTCTCAGTGGGGCCTTGTACCACCGAGTGGGATCGCTGTATAAATCTATCCCTCGCAGCAGGGTTCAAGATTCTCGGGGAGAATGAGAATGTGTCGAACGCTGGATGCGCTCGAGACTTGGCCGGTTCGAGAGTCGCTAGAGTGGGGACAAGGCTATATAAACTTGGGGTAGATTGATAGATGGTAGAGATCCGAAGAAGAAGTCATTTCCGACCAAGGCGATGTACTTGATCTACTCCGCTCACGTAAATGCGTAAATGTGCGTTTAATGTTTCACCAACGATCGCCGAAACGAGGAAAAAATGGCCTTACCTATAATCTTCATCGCTGTTCTGTCAATGAGTAAGTTATGTGTCAAGTGCGACAATCAGATATTCAATATCTTGTATTTGAATTGAAAAAAAGAAATGTAATCGTAGGCTCTTTCCAAAGGCGATCTCGTAAAGAATATATCATGTTATATACAGAGTGTTGTAGAATTCGCAAGTATTTGAGGGAGGGAACAAGTTGCACATGTGCCTGAGACAGCCTATATTTCTTAGATGACATAATATATTTCTTGCATTTTTTTCGAGAAAAAAAGTGTAAAATCGCGCAACAAACAGTCTCGCGAAATTGTCAAGTCGTTACCAACACCGTTGCATTATCAATCGCTGTCAAGTCGCAAGTTCCAACGTACAGACGTGGAATATCAATCGCCGACCATCGCGATTCATCGCAGAGAAACGCTGCACGTCGATCGAATGTTAAATAGTCGTGAGAGAGCGTACTCTTTCTCGCATCATTTCTTACAATTAACACTTGCCTTACGTGTCTCTGATCAAACGAGTTGAAATTTTATCAGTGTGACAAATCTTATTGCTCTTCCTTTTTATTGCAGCTGAAGAAACGTACGTAGGCATCAAACCGAAAATTTTCTTTCTGACAAATTGTTATTACGCATTTGCCTATTCTCTTTTTGTAACTTTTTGTAACTTTTTGTAACTTGAAGATCCGGGCAAAAATCCCCTTCTTGTCGATAGACAACATTCATTCTCGTCACAAGTGAATTATTACATTTGTTTTACAGCGAGCCACGCCTTGACCAGAGATTCGGAATCTGTAAATTCGTTGGCGCAATGCGAAGCGGCCATCAAGGAGATTGAACGGAAGGACCTTGAGACAATCGTGGACGACAGTCCCTCCAGATTGTATTCCACATGGCTGTCTCAAGAGTGATTGTTTTCCTTTTCTGCATAATAATGCGTTAATAATAAATATATGTTTTCATTGAATATTTGTCAAAAGAGAAATTATGATCCTTTGTTGCAGATGCGAAGTACGAGCTGGCCCGGTATATATAATGAAGAAATACACATTTTTCGAAAACGGCACATTTCTCCTGTTACGTTATCATTACGCCGAAGAGTCGTGCAGCATAGCGACGCACACCGTTACAATTCGGGGCTCCGTCAAGTTGCTCGGATCATCCGTCGTCGTTTCTGGCGCTACCGAAACGAGATTTCACGTAGATGCCATCAACATTGTGCCTTTGAATCGACAGGTATTTAGATATTCCAAATCGATCGGGCCATCTACTGAAAATTGACAAATTTGTTCAGGTGGCTCGCAAGTTTGGACACAGATTGAACCAGACTTGCGGTCCCCAGCCGAAATGGCGACCTTACGTTCCCGAAGTGGTTTACTACGAGCAGCAACGCAGCTCGGCGACGCCACTGTGGCAAGGTCCGATCTACAATTCTCTGCAAGCTCACTCGTCTACAAAGAGGCGACTCGGTATCAACTGTTTAGAACCTTTCGGGATCGAATTCTCCGAATTGAGACTCCTAAGGGTGCAAAGGAAGTCGTTGCTCCGCTCATCCAGCGTTAATCGGTACCACGAGCTTCCACAATTCCAACTCTTTCTAGCCAGCCCCACGGCCAACGTTCGCTCTCGTTGGAGTTACAAACCGACATCTTTACAGTCCACACCGATGGTCCGCGCCGACACGGTACGTTTTCGTTACGAATCTTTGCAACTCTTTCGTTCGTGTCTGCGAGTTCTCGCGTAATCGACGTTACAGGCGAGCGGCTGTCCGATATGCAGCGGCGTGTCTCGGAGCACCGAGTTGAGCCCACCTCTTCTCCATCAGACGGCGGCTCTGCCCGCATTGATCGGAGGTTATTGGCACAGCGAGAGCTGCGAGAGCTCCGAGGGCGGTATCTGGTCGAGACGTCAATTTCAGATACATTCGGGAGACAGATTGTGGACCGGTCGATGGGACTACTACGACGATCCACAATGCTCGACGTTTCTGTACGCGATAACCGCAGCCGGAAGTTACGTTCAGCGAGCTGGAAGACGTCACGAACAAGTCGATCGAAAGACTTTCCTCAATGTCTCCTCGGTGTCGAGGTCCTTGGCCAGGAGGAGCGTTACCGATAGGCCGAAAGATGTAACGGATGAATGGGTAGAAAGATCGCTGACTGATGGCGTTCATCGACTCTTGCGAGACGAGCAGCCCATAGTTCGGTCGAGATTCGCGGCGATGCTGCGAGACGATTGGAGGCACGAGGCCTCTACCAGAAAGCCCCTTCTCCAGAAAACCTCGAGCATCCTTGCCGGTACCACGGAGCTAGATCTGCACATCGCCGAGAGCATTTTGATTCCTGGAGACGCCAAGGTATCCACGCGTTGTAGCGCCGCTGCTCGGCCGAGAAGCTGCGTACCTCGCGCCATCGAGGCGCCCTCGACATTGCGACTGCAGGCTAAGCTGGGCGTCAACTGGAACGGTCAGTACATCCTGCTGTTGGGCTCGCGAGACGCCGATGCGGGAGGCTGGGAGGCTCCGCTGCGGCAATGCGCGCAGATTTCACCTCGCAATTCCATTCTGCGAGCGCATCTCCGGAGAAGCGTCGGTCTTCGATTCGGACTGCTCTCGTCGGCTGCGTCATCGAGCCGAATCTTCGCTTGGTTCTTTCCGCTCTTATCGCCAATCTTGCTATGGTGATATCAGGCGTCCGAGTCGTTATCTTTGCCAAGGATATCTTTGTTTGGATTCGTTTCGATTGGAGTTTGAGAAAACTAGATTTGAAATATATACATTCTCTCTCGGAAAATTCCGTAGGATCGTATTATACATGTGTAAATAGAAGAAATAAAATTGGAAGGACCACGTACGACAGATCTCGCATTTATAAGTTATTTTGCTACTCGAATCTATATCAAAATTTATATGTACATGTATAGGTGTAGCTGCGATTCAATAAATATAATCAAGTTGACAAAAGTTACGTTAGCAAGTCGTGTAACATTCGGCCTTTCGATCCCGCTTCGATCGTCGGTTTTAGCATAATAAATACAGTTCATCACTCTCTTCTCTTCCCCCTTTTCTCCCCAGATCTCTGCTTCATTCTCCAGTCGATAGCTTTCATTATCAGATCCCGTGCACACATTATCACGTACGTGCCGGTTGTAAATTAATCTCTCACGGTAAGGAATTATAACGCTCGTCGACACATTTACAAGTCAGCATCAGAGATTGCGTCTTGTTCCTCGTTTCTTACGCCAGATGAAACGGGGAAGGACGGTTATATGTAATGCGATGTCGCGCTATCCGGCCAGTATTCCGTAGGGCGTAGAAGAAAGGGTCGATTCGTTCTCTCAAGAGGAGACAATGGAGAATCCTCTCGCCACTGGCATCCCGTTTAATCAAACGGGAAATTTGGATCGCTTCGTGTTCGGATGGCTAGACTACACGCTCTTCAGCCTGCTGCTGCTCGTCAGTGTTCTCATCGGCGTGTACTTTGGCTTCTTTAGCAAGCAAGACAGCACAACGGAGTATTTCCTGGGCGGTAAACGGATGGGATGCTTTCCCGTCGCGATGAGCATCATCGCTAGGTCAGTGACTCCTTTTTTGTCAAATTTTCTCTTCCTTCGCGTACTCGAATAACTGACACCTCACTTACTGGATTTAGCCACATCTCGGGTATCAGCTTGCTCGGTATACCCACGGAGGTTTTCCATTACGGGAGCCAGTATGCGGCGTGCGTCGTCACATCGATCCTCACTGCCGTCGTTACCTCTTACCTTTTCCTACCTGTGTTCTACAAGCTGCAACTAACTAGCACCTTTGAATATCTGGAGATTAGGTTCGCCAGATCGGTGAGAATTCTCTCTTCGGCGCTATTCACCATATCCCTCTTCACCTACTTGCCCATCGTCATCTACGTACCTGCCCTCGCCTTCGCGCAAGTCAGCGACCTGAGTATTCACGCGATAACGCCGTTGCTTTGTATCGTGTGCATCTTTTACACCAGCATTGTAAGTAAACCAGCTCTCTTAATTGCTTTTCACACCAACACTTAAGATACTTGATACTTGATAGGGTGGCCTAAAGGCGGTAGTATGGTCGGACACTATACAATTTTCCGTGACCGTTTGCGGGCTCTTTGCGGTTCTCGTGCTGGGGATATCGTCCGTTGGCAGCGTTCAGCAAGTGTGGAGGATCTCCAGCGAAGGCGGTCGTCTCGTTTTCTTCAAGTAAGCTTTCATTATTACATTATGTAATGTACATCTCATAGAGACATGTTAATTGCTCCCTTTATCAGTATGGATCCGAGTCCGTTGGCGAGAAACACTTTTTGGAGTATGGCTGTAGGTATGACGGTAATATGGCTCGGACACCTCGGTATTCATCCGGGTACGGTGCAGCGATTCCTGTCGGTGCCTCGAGAAATCGACGCGAAACAGTAAGTTTCTTACTTCTAATACTTATTACTTAGCCAAGCCGCAAAAGAGCAAGGTATATCTCATCCTCTCTGCTCCTCTTGTACGTAGCGGTATCGCGATTACCGCGGTAGGGATGATAGTCGTCAAACTGATCTGCGTCTTCACCGGATTAATCATGTTTGCCAAGTATCATGACTGTGATCCTTTTCTCACCAAGGTACGATATATTTTTCTATTCCTTTGCTTTCACACGCAATAAAATTACAAATCTTGTCGTTGGAGCAGTCGATAAGTCGCACCGACCAGACTCTACCGTACTACGTGATGGACGTTGCTGGGCATCTGCCAGGACTTCCGGGATTATTCCTAGCGGGCCTAGTGAGCGCCGCGCTCGCAACTATGAGCGCGAGCTTGAACACCGTGTCCGGCACCATTTACGAAGACTTTATAAATTTGCGGATCCCGGAGAGCCCCGAGAAAGAAGCTATGGCCGCCAACATAATGAAGGTGAGCGATGTCAATAGAATTTCAGATTAATTTGTTAATTAGAAATTCTTCTGCCTCAGGGCATCGTCGTGGTAGCCGGTGTGATTTCGGTTGGTCTGGTGTTCCTGGTCGAACGATTAGGATCGGTCTTCCAAATAGCCGTGAGTACGCGTGGCATCACCGACGGACCTTTGCTCGGCCTCTTTATGCTAGGAATGCTGGTACCCTGGGCAAACGCGAGAGGCACGTTGTTTGGCGGTTACGTCGGTCTGATCAGCATGCTTTGGCTGGTGGGAGGCGCTCAATGGCACACCATACATAACAGAATTAAATACAATGCGTTACCTACGTCGATAGATGGTTGCCCATTGAATCAGACCCTCTCGAGCGTGACGACGCCTACTGTATCATCCTGGATAGATGACTCCAGCGAGGAACCTATGATACTCTTTCAAATATCCTTCATGTATTACAACATGATAGGAGCGATTATCGTTGTTGTCGTCGGCACTATCGCGAGCTACGTTTTCGGCGTGGACCTCGAGAGCGTAGATCCCGATCATATTACACCGATGATGAAAAGGTACGTCCGAATATTCAAATCTGGTTTATGCGTGTAGGCACAAGTGATTCAATGTATAACAGATCATCTTATTTTTCTATTCTGATTTAAATTTATTTCTCTAGGTTTCTTCCTTCTCGAAGATATGCTCGAGTCTCGTTGAGAAATGTGCCGCTCGACGTTGCGCCGGAAAAAATCAAATGATCGCGATTCGTCATTATTTTAATGAGTGGTAAGCGAGCTGATAGGATCAACCTCCCGAAAAACTCTCTCAATTACCTCCATTTATCCTGCGAATGATAATCTTTATTCTAAAAAAAATTTTTATCTGACAGCCGGTCACGACAAAGGGGGTGTTGTGTCTCTTATTGATTAATAGACGCATGCGCCAACTCTTACAGCTCACAGTCTCACTGTCAGTATCGTTCCTAGTGTTTGTACGAGGCACCAGTTGCATCTCTCTCTCCCCCCCCCCCTCCTAGATACACCCTGGCTAGGAAACCAAAATCGAATGCTACGAGGAACGAGTCTTTGATTGCATTCTGGCGGAACAAGTATATAATATCGTCACCGTTCAATTCCACTCGGCGGTGGGAAAGAACATACATGTGTGTGTATATCGTGTAAGAGAAAAGTCGTTGCGAGTCCAAAAAGAATAAATTTGGTTCAACGAATAAAGGATAGCGATCGACATTAGACCCGTGGACGTTGTAGAGAAAGTTACGTCCCTGAAGATGTTGATCGGGGTTGCTCGGGGGTGGCCGCGTGCCCTCGTAAATAGGATGGCCGCGCCTACACGTGGAGTGAGTGTTGTCGCGAATACCGAGTTAACCGAGTTAACCGAGTTAACCGAGTACCCTCGGTCCGACACAACGTTCAACAAGTACGAGTACACTTGGCAGCATCCTCGCAGCGATTTTATCGTGCAACATGGTCAATACCTTGGAGTGATGGAACGAAGATTGCTACAGCGATCAGCTACAGCGAGCTATTCTCATCGCGTACGTGTCGAAGGTGAACGTCGAGTGAATCCAAAGTAAGGGATTTATGACAGGCGATAGGTGTCCGTCTAAACAAGGATTCGAATGGTTACATTATTAATCGTCGCGATTCAAGGGAAGCTGACCTCTATTCTTCTCGCACATCTTGGCTCAATATACTTGGCATTCCAAAGCGACGGAATAATCCAAAAGTTCACAATCCACAGAGTTTTCATCTTTGTACAATACAATGACTTTGTACGTACAAACGATTTCACTGATAGATTCAAAGATTTATTTACTTATTTGGTCAACAACACACATGGTGCCAACAGAATGTAATATAGATCATTATTGGCGGAAAGTCGATAGAATGCAAGAATTTTGTCGATTCCAGCTGTTTGAATATATTCAGCGCCGTGGAGAGAAATTTTGCGAAATCTCGATCGTTGTTTAACCTGCCAATCGACAGTATAGGCAGCAAAACGGATGGTGGCATGCCGAGGCACAGCCGTGCGTACAGCCGCGCCCTGCCTTTAATAATAGATAAAAACCGCAGGCATTCGTGCCGTAAAAAACAGAGAGAAAGAGAGAGAGAGAGAGAGAGAGAGAGAGAGAGAGAAATAGCCCTCAGTTTGCTAACGAAAAACGCAGCAGACTGAAAAACCGGCCAGTCAGTTTCAGTCACTTGCAGATACATTGTGTCTCAATGTCGCAATTAGTTGATTAGATCGAGTTTTAATCAACGTGCAGGATATCATCCAGTCGTGGAAAGGAATAGAGAGAATAGAGAGAAACTATTCGCTTTGGTCCAAAAATATCAAAATAAATATATCTCTTTTGATGGATAATTAGTTGATCTCTCTATCGCAAGAGATTGATTGCTATTGTATGGAAATGTCTTTAAACATTAACGGATGTTACTTTGAAAAACTTGCGTTAGAAACACGCTTTATTAATCCGAATGTGAAATTACAGCCTCTTTCAAGGTCGCGCGTTACGCAATAGCAAATGGAAAATAAAATAGTCGTTTGAATCTCTTGGAAACCAAAGACAAATCCAGATGTGATGAGAGGGCGAGCGGTGTATTCAGGTATACCTTGGATATGACGTTGTCAGAACAGATGCAGAGAAGCTTACTGGGATTAACGGTGCTGACGATCGTCGGCCTGATGACATTCCTACTCAGCAGGAAGCTCACGCTGGAAACGCGCAAACGAGACGGTCTACTCCTCGACATGATAGCTAACATTAGCGGCCACTTGGATCGACTCGACAACGGCTTCGATGACATTGCCGCGCAGACGGGAATTGCACGGAATCGCCTGCTGCGACTGCTCGCGCTCCATCGGGAGAATCTCTTGGTATGTGCGTTACTCGGCGAGAAACGGAAACAAATGCGAACGTCCAGCGACAAAGCGGAAGAAGAAGAAGAAGAAAAAGAAGAAGGAATGAAAAGAAGAAGAAGAAGAAGACGACGACGACGACGACGACGACGCACAGTCATCGATAAAGCATTCGGTTCGAGAGGCTTTTATCGGACGTCAGAAGATGCGAAACCAATGTGGCGCAGATCTCAAAGTGCACTACCAAATTATGCTGCGTATAATTGATCTCTACTTATTCTTAGGAGTAACTCAAACTTGATATCAAAATACGAATTAAATGCGTAAACATTTCAAATATCTTTTCATGGGTCAAGGCAATTATAGCGTGCCTGTACTATTGCTTTTCTCCCATCGAATTAAGCCTGTTGATTTACTATCAACTTGTAATTTGTATTGATCTAATCGTATCCAAGTAGTGGATAAGAAGGATAAATTAGTTTCGTCCTTGGCAATTAAGACAATCATTGTCGTTATTGTGCGAATCAAATCAGCACATAGCGTGGAACATATCTTGGATAATAGAGTCTATTTTTAGTGAGTAGATGGTATCACCTTATGGTAAACCAGATGTTGAAGGTGGGGGCCAATAAACAAATCCATAATCACGGAGACGCAATGATTGTTGTTTCGGATTCCAGAGCAGCTCGGAATATAGAAGACGGCTATGATCGAGTAATATAATATCATCTGTCATGCGAACAATATTTATATCGAGTTAGAAACGATTCTATATGATTGATTGTACGGAAGAGCGAGAATTGTCTGTCTGAAATTGTCAAACTAGAATTGAGTTTAATATTTCAGCGGATCGCGCGTATAAGTTTATACAATACATATAGAATGTTGTCACATAATGTCCTCACTCTGTCAGCGTGACACCACTGCGCTGTGCGCAAAACGTTATCTATCAAATGCTAACGTATATTAATACATATGTGTCGAGGTACAGAATAATGTTCCAGATTCAGCAGGGAGGTATCTTGATCAATTTCTCCGCTCGATGATGAGATGTTATTAAAAAGAAAATTTCATCGGAAGCGAACTTTGGCAGATCTGGGACACTTTGTGTATTTATCGATATGTTTATTAGCGATTTAGTACTGGGTATGGTTGTCCGATGGGCATAATGATTCGACGTACTCGCTTTACCACTTTGTATATATACATATTTTTACTTGATGCACGCACACGGGCACATGTGTTGTACGCGTGATTATTTTTATAACTCGTGTGTGTTTTGTGTATGCATGTGTGTGTGTGTGTGTGTGTGTGTGTGCGTGTGCGTGCGCGTGTGCGTGCGCGTGCGCGTGCGCGTGCGCGTGCGCGTGCGCGTGCGCGTGCGCGTGCGCGTGCGTGTGCGCGTGCGTGTGCGCGTGCGTGTGCGTGTGCGTGTGCGTGTGCGTGTGTGTGTGTGTGGAAAAAGATGCAAATAAATTATGTTTACGTGTATATATATCTCTCGGGGATGTCTACTCTGTATATCCTGTACAATCCTATATAATAGTATAATTGTATAATTGTATAATTGTTTGAGCGGGTTATTGGTATCTTCTCGTTTCGCACAGAAACGGACCATCGGAAACGTATTACCACGGAGCTTCGATCTTTCTCAATGCAAATCAACTCCTCGACCTCTGGGTTAAACTCTCATCGTACAGTTCGATAAACTTTGTTTTTCATCGTCTGGATTGACCCTTTGACCTTTCAAGCTGGAAGCTGCAACTTTTTCTTCATCGCACGAAAACGACTGTAAAAGCAATATTTAATATTATATATCTCGAGCTGTAAGAATAAAAATACGGATTTCGGGAATATTTTCTAGATGTATGTTATACGTGACGTGTGGTATCGCTACACGTTATCTTTCGTCCGGTTAATGAAATCGCCTACTATCAGCTTTGTGATGATAACTGTTGACGCTATCTCGTAATATCCAGACTATGTTGTAACGTAGTAACTTGTTACTTGGTTGCATATTGTTGCAACAAAGAGTTACAACGAGAAATAATTTAGACATCATCGTTATTGCAATCAGATCAATCGCGACCGATTCCGAGTCTGAGAGACACACGCAAAGTGCAAGTTCCCCCAAGCATGTTTCCCCCTCTTAAGCCCAATGTCCACGATGCTAGAACTTGGTTCAAGTTCTAGTTTCGAGAAATCTGTAGCCAATCAATGTGCAGCTATTCCATAAAAACTAGAACTAGAATCTAGCATCGTGGACATTGGCCTTTACTCTCGAACGTATAATATCTCGTCGTGTCGTAAGAATCATACGTACATATCGAAAGCAACCGCTACTGAATCTACAATTTGTCGAGTGGCGTCGCGCGATGGAGCAGAAGAAAGGTATTCGATTACGTTATTGTACCATGTATGGTCTAAAATTTAAGGCTGAAAATGCAAAATTAGACATTGGAGTTGAAAATGGCTTTTTCGCAGCGTGTTCCGGGCCGGGCTATAAGAGTCCGAGGACGGCGATGGAAGGACCGCGCGAGAAGCTTCTGTACGTAATCGGTGTACACACGGATCCCGAAAAGGCCGATGTCCTTTGCACGGTGGACGTGGATCTCGATAGTCCTACGTACTGCCAGGTACGTTAAAACGTTTGTGAAAATTGAGCCAACGTATAGTGATTTTAACCTGTACAAAACTCGTGGAAAACGCAGATAATACACAGACTGAGAATGCTAACGCCCGGCGACGAGTTACATCACTCCGGCTGGAACGTTTGCAGCAGCTGCCACGAATCGCAAACGCCTTGCAAACGCGACACTCTGGTACTGCCCTGTCTTATGTCGGACCGGGTGTACCTGGTTGATACGAGCGACGAGAGAATGCCCAGGATCAAGAAGGTATTATATTTTACGCGGATAACAACATCTTCATTAGCTCGTTCGTTAACTCTTAATTGCGTAACTCTATTTCGCAAGGTTCTGGAGCCAGAAGAGATGCACAAATACGGAATATCCACGCCGCACACTTCCCACTGTCTGCCGACCGGCGAGATAGTCATCTCCACCATGGGAAATGTCAGTGGCGACGGACTGGGCGAATTTTTCTGCATCGACGCAGAGACTCTACGGGTGAAAGGCACGTGGACCAAGAGCGACGAGAAAGCGGCATTCGGATACGATTTTTGGTACCAACCGTATCACGATACGCTCATCGCTACGGAATGGGGTGCACCTCGAGTCTTTAAGAAGGGATTCATTCCAGAGGACGTTCATGATCCCAGTAAATATTATATATCAATTTTCGCGGCGGGCGGTACGGTATTCAACAGGTTTCATCATTCGCAGAGATCTATGGCAGAAACTTGAATGTTTACTCGTGGAACGAACGAAAGCTGAAACAGATCATCGAGCTGGGAGATGACGGAATCGCACCCCTTGAAATAAGATTCCTCCACGATCCGTTGGCAGCCGAAGGATTCGTCGGCTGCGCGGTAACGTCCAATATTTATCGCTTTTACAAGGCGAAAGACAACTCGTGGAAGGCCGAAAAAGTGATCCAGGTGCCACCGAAAAGAGTCGACGGTTGGATCGCACCTCTCATGTCAGGTATCGCACGAATACTCTTGGAGCCGTTGACGACATTGCAGTCTTTTCTTCTTACAAAAGTCTTCCTTCCTTTCTCTCGCTTCAAGGTATGATCACCGATATTCTGCTGAGTCTGGACGACAAGTATCTCTACCTGTCCAATTGGCTTCATGGCGACGTTAGACAATACGACATCTCGGATACGAGAAACCCGAGATTGACGGGTCAAGTTTTCCTAGGAGGATCGATACTGAGCGATTCGCAGGTACGAGTGACGCGAGACGAGGAAATGACCGGTCAGCCCGACCCCGTCTACGTCAAGGGACGTAGATTGTATGGCGCGCCACAAATGTTACAGCTGAGTTTGGACGGACGTCGTTTGTACGTGACCACGTCCATCTTCAAGCCATGGGACAAACTCTTTTATCCCGATCTCCTCAAGTAAGTTTTCCTCCTCTCCTTCCCACAACATAAAATAAAATGGCTAATATTCGGCACGCGCTATTTAGATATGGATCAACGATGGTGAAGCTTGATGTCGACGTCGAGAAGGGCGGAATGAAGCTCGATCATCAATTTCTCGTTGACTTCGGCGTCGATAAGAGCGATATTTTACTGGCGCACGAGATGAGGTGAGAGATATTCCGTAATCCGTAATTGATTGAGGCGTTGATGATGAAAAAATTGCCATTTACTTTTCTAAAGAAATGTCGAAAGATGATGCCCAAATTACAAAATTAATCTCGGAATTTATCTTATCCGGGTGTAAACGTGCAATTGTTTTTTCACTCGTTCTTTTTCTCCATTTTATTTCGACTCTAATCAGTAATTTTTTCCAATGAGATTATGCGCGTTTTGATTTCACACATTTCTCCCTTACACGTGGATGTACACCTGTTGTACCGTTATCTCCTGCGGCAATTCTATCGCGTTGTTAATCTTTGTGCCCTCAGATATCCCGGTGGAGATTGCACCTCCGATATATGGCTTGCGGAGAGACCCTAACTCTGATGATTCGACTGGTTCTCGTTAGTAGTAGCGAAAGTAGTATTGCAGTAATTGCAGTAATTGCAGTAACTGCGAATAGCGTCGACAAGGATAAGAGACAGCTCGGTGATAGGTAAATTAGTAAAGAGATATTTTCATTTCTTTCCATGGCATGGTGCTTATTAATTCCAGCATATTGCATCAAGTAATATAATATTTTATGAAATTGTGTTTGATGTTACGTGGTAGGCAATCAATTTTGGTGTTTTCTTTCCTCCGAATTGGCACAAATCAAATCCGTCAAATCCGTAATTGTTCGTTGTGTGTAAAGTTTGCCGAAATGTTGTACATTAGAAACAATTTCAAGGTTGTGTATAGCCACGTATAAAATTTCATTACGTTTCCGTAAAGGATCGCGGTTTTAAATCGCCGATTTTATTACAAAGTTTCGTGTCATCTACAATATTCAATGAGTTACATAAAATAAAATAAATGTTTCAATTAACATGTATAATTTCGAAATTCGCAATAAACGTTTGAAGAAAAAGAAAAAAAAACCGAGTTTTCGTCGTTATACATATATATATACTCTTTTGCAATATTTGAAGAAATACTTATCACGCGACAGCATACCTATATTATGTAGGTATTGAAAAAAAAGATTGGGCGTAATATATTCCGTGGTAATGCGTTTCCGATGATCCGTTTCTGTGTTATATAACAATATAACTGTTATATAACACGTGTTATATAACAGTTATATTGTTGAGTAGGAAATTTTAACTTACAGTTATGTAACTGTTACTTTGTGTTTGCTGGGACGTGACGTGTGGTATCGCTACACGTTATCACACGTTATATCTTTCGTCCGGTTAATGAAATCGCCTACTATCAGCTTTGTGATGATAACTGTTGACGCTATCTCGTAATATCCAGACCATGGGCGTATCCAGACTTTTGTCAAGGGGGGGGCAGAACAGGATTCACCCGTAGGCGAATTATGCAGCATAAATTAAACTACGTACTTATACAAAATCTTTTTTATTTATATAAAAATTAATTTTCTGGAGTCCTCGGCAAATCTAATAATTATGTTATTCGTAATCTCAATGGGGATCCCATTGAGTCTAGGGGGGGCAGCTGCCCCCCCCTGGATACGCCCCATGATCCAGACTATAATTGTTACTTGGTTGCATATTGTTTTGCAACAAAGAGTTACAACGAGAAATAATTTAGACGTCATCGTTATTGCAATCAGATCAATCGCGACCGATTCCGAGTCGGAGAGACACACGCAAAGTGCAAGTTCCCCCAAGCATGCTTTCCCCTCTTACTCTCGAACGTATAATATATCTCGTCGTGTCGTAAGAATCATACGTACATCAAAAGCAACCGCTACTGAATCTACAATTTGTCGAGTGGCGTCGCGCGATGGAGCAGAAGAAAGGTATTCGATTACGTTATTGTACCATGTATGGTCTAAAATTTAAGGCTGAAAATGCAAAATTAGACATTGGAGTTGAAAATGGCTTTTTCGCAGCGTGTTCCGGGCCGGGCTATAAGAGTCCGAGGACGGCGATGGAAGGACCGCGCGAGAAGCTTCTGTACGTAATCAGTGTACACACGGATCCCGAAAAGGCCGATGTCCTTTGCACGGTGGACGTGGATCCCGATAGTCCTACGTACTGCCAGGTACGTTAAAACGTTTGTCAAAAATTGAGCCAACGTATAGTGATTTTAACCCGTACAAAACTCGTGGAAAACGCAGATAATACACAGACTGAGAATGCTAACGCCCGGCGACGAGTTACATCACTCCGGCTGGAACGTTTGCAGCAGCTGCCACGAATCGCAAACGCCTTGCAAACGCGACACTCTGGTACTGCCCTGTCTTATGTCGGACCGGGTGTACCTGGTTGATACGAGCGACGAGAGAATGCCCAGGATCAAGAAGGTATTATATTTTACGCGGATAACAACATCTTCATTAGCTCGTTCGTTAACTCTTAATTGCGTAACTCTATTTCGCAAGGTTCTGGAGCCAGAAGAGATGCACAAATACGGAATATCCACGCCGCACACTTCCCACTGTCTGCCGACCGGCGAGATAGTCATCTCCACCATGGGAAATGTCAGTGGCGACGGACTGGGCGAATTTTTCTGCATCGACGCAGAGACTCTACGGGTGAAAGGCACGTGGACCAAGAGCGACGAGAAAGCGGCATTCGGATACGATTTTTGGTACCAACCGTATCACGATACGCTCATCGCTACGGAATGGGGTGCACCTCGGGTCATTAAGAAGGGATTCATTCCAGAGGACGTTCATGATCCCAGTAAATATTATATATCAATTTTCGCGGCGGGCGGTACAGTATTCAACAGGTTTCATCATTCGCAGAGATCTATGGCAGAAACTTGAATGTTTACTCGTGGAACGAACGAAAGCTGAAGCAGATCATCGAGCTGGGAGATGACGGAATCGCACCCGCTGAAATAAGATTCCTCCACGATCCGTTGGCAGCCGAAGGATTCGTCGCCTGCGCGGCAACGTCCAATATTTATCGCTTTTACAAGGCGAAAGACAACTCGTGGAAGGCCGAAAAGGTGATCCAGGTGCCACCGAAAAGAGTCGACGGTTGGATCGCACCTCTCATGACAGGTATCGCACGAATACTCTTGGAGCCGTTGACGACATTGCAGTCTTTTCTTCTTACAAAAGTCTTCCTTCCTTTCTCTCGCTTCAAGGTATGATCACCGATATTCTGCTGAGTCTGGACGACAAGTATCTCTACCTGACCAATTGGCTTCATGGCGACGTTAGACAATACGATATCTCGGATACGAGAAACCCGAGATTGGCGGGTCAAGTTTTCCTAGGAGGATCGATACTGAGCGATTCGCAGGTACGAGTGACGCGAGACGAGGAAATGACCGGTCAGCCCGACCCCGTCTACGTCAAGGGACGTAGATTGTATGGCGCGCCACAAATGTTACAGCTGAGTTTGGACGGACGTCGTTTGTACGTGACCACGTCCCTCTTCAAGCCATGGGACAAACTCTTTTATCCCGATCTCCTCAAGTAAGTTTTCCTCCTCTCCTTCCTACAACATAAAATAAAATGGCTAATATTCGGCACGCGCTGTTTAGATATGGATCAACGATGGTGAAGCTTGATGTCGACGTCGAGAAGGGCGGGATGAAGCTCGATCATCAATTTCTCGTTGACTTCGGCGTCGATAAGAGCGATATTTTACTGGCGCACGAGATGAGGTGAGAGATATTCCGTAATCCGTAATTGATTGAGGCGTTAATGATGAAAAAATTGCCATTTACTTTTCTAAAGAAATGTCGAAAGATGATGCCCAAATTACAAAATTAATCTCGGAATTTATCTTATCCGGGTGTAAACGTGCAATTGCTTTTTCACTCGTTCTTTTTCTCCTTTTTATTTCGACTCTAATCAGTAATGTTTTTCAATGAGATTATGCGCCTTTTGATTTCACACATTTCGTTATCTCCTTTTCTATCGCGGCAATTCTATCGCGTTGTTAATCTTTGTGCCCTCAGATATCCCGGTGGAGATTGCACCTCCGATATATGGCTTGCGGAGAGACCCTAACTCTGATGATTCGACTGGTCCTCGATAGTAGTAGCGAAAGTAGTATTGCAGTAATTGCAGTAATTGCAATAATTGCAGTAACTGCAAAACTCGTATAGCGTCGACAAGGATAAGAGACAGGCTCGGTGATAGGTAAATTAGTAGATATTTTCATTTCTTTCCATGGTATGGTGCTTATTAATTCCAGCATATTGCATCAAGTAATATAATATTTTATGAAATTGTGTTTCATGTTACGTGGTAGGCAATAAATTTTGGTGTTTTCTTTCCTCCGAATTGGCACAAATCAAATCCGTCAAATCCGTAATTGTTCGTTGTGTGTAAAGTTTGCCGAAATGTTGTACATTAGAAACAATTTCAAGGTTGTGTATAGCCACGTATAAAATTTCATTACGTTTCCGTAAAGGATCGCGGTTTTAAATCGCCGATTTTATTACAAAGTTTCGTGTCATCTACAATATTCAATGAGTTACATAAAATAAAATAAAATGTTTCAATTAACATGTATAATTTCGAAATTCGCAATAAACGTTTGAAGAAAAAGAAAAAAAACCGAGTTTTCGTCGTTATACATATATATATATATATACTCTTTTGCAATATTTGAAGAAATACTTATCACGCGACAGCATTATGTAGGTATTGAAAAAAAAAAAGATTGGGCGTAATATGCGACGCCAGAGAGTAGCGAGGACACGTCAAGTGCCAATGTTGGCTACGAAGCTGATGAGTTTCTTCTTTCGCCCGGATCGTCCGATGCTAACGCTATAAAACTCAACGTCAGCGCGGCAAATTTTCAAAGCGTATATGCGCTACAGAAATGATTTTGTCCCGTTAATCGGTAATAAGTTGCGGTCGCTCTGCAAAATGATTATGTTTTCGTTTTAGATACGCACGCACGCGCGCGTCCAAGTGTACGTGTACGCGCCGAGTTTAAACATTAAATTGTTTAATTACATACAACTGAATAATAACAGACTACTCTTAATATCTCTGTTAAACTAGATCTTTTCTTTTGGTTTCTTCGTGACAATTAAAAACTAATGCTGCAATAAGACGTGTGCCTACGTAATCTCGGATCCTGAATTAATCATCGAGTGTGCTCGCGTGTACACCGTACGTATATCTAGAGTTATAACGTTACATCGGTGCAAACCGATACAGATGCATCGATTAAAATGCCAGACTTTTCCTAACATGACAAGCTCGTCATCATGCGGTAAATGTTGACAGCGCGACCGTTTATCACAACGATCGTTATCGAGACTTTTATCATCATCGTTGTTGTTGTTATTATTATTATTTTTATCATCGTCATCACCATCATTATCATCGGACTTCCCGTTATCGTCAGCCGAACTTGTCGCGACCACACCGTTAGCGTAAGGATACGGGGCCGATTCTACATTTCCCCCGAAAATTCGTGGCTCTGAAAAGAATACTACTTTAGTCTCGCGCTCGCTCGTCGCTTCCCTCGAGAAAAAGGAAAGAAAAGGAAAAAGGGGAAAAGAAAAAGGAAAGAAGAAAGAAGCCAGCCTTGTTTTTGAGACAACTGTAGAATCGGCACTCGACACAACGGATGGTTTCAATTGTCGCGTCGGGGAGAGATCGATCTGCGATCGAGCTGTAAAACCGACTTGCTTCCCAGGTGACGTTTTTACCGGACACTCCACCAGCTGATTTCGAGCGGAGTGTTTTGCTCTCTACGGCGACGTAGGGCGACGTAGGGCGACGTAAGGCGACGTAGGACGACGCAGGTACGACGGTACAAATGAGAGTACCGTGTGAGACGAGTGTCAAGCCATCGAGGCGCGCGAGCGCCAGCCGTCGTCCGTTCAGACCCACGGTGTCCAGCCCTCGTACAACAAGGCCAGATTATCGTTGCTCTGCGCTTCGCGTATCACGTATTCCACTTGCTCGGCCGTGGTGTACTTGCGCAACGGTTGCGGATCACGGCCCTCCAGCTTCATACGCACGCGGCGCCAGACGTTGAGCGCATAGGCGTTTCGCTCTTGCACGGCTACAACAGAGAGGGGGAAAAAAAATGCTAATTATGTGAGCAAGCTTGGAATTTCGGAGGTGTGTCCCGTACAGACGGGAGACTACCTACCCTTGCCCGTGGTGGGATCTCTGATCAACGGTGCCCCCTTTCGCGGGCTCAGACACACACTGTCCTGCCGCACCAGCTTACCCTTCGTCGTCCCCCCCGCCCCCCTTCTCTTCCTTCTCTTGTTCCTCTTCTTCGGCAGACTACCCGCGAGCTTCTCCGCGCCCTTGGCCGAATTCAGCTTACGCTCGCTCGCAAATTCCAGCAATCGATTGTACAAACTGGGCACTCTGATCGCCATCGCCTCAAATTCTTTCTTGATCGCTGTGCCGCGAGCCGAGTCGAAATTCTCGGCTTCCAGTTCCTTCACCACCGCCGAAATGCTCTCCGTGAAGGATCGATAGGCAAAGAGAAAGTCTTGCAGGCCGTCAATGCTCTCCTGCTTGGCCATTGTTTTCAGCAACGCTCGAACGTCCGACATGAGTCGGTGATGCTCGGCGAGTACGTTCTGCAGATTCATCACTCGCTCCCTTAAATAGTCCTCGGCCGTGAAGAGAGCCTCTTGTTTCTCCTGCAGCTGCTTCTGGGTGTCGACGATCGCCTCGGACACAATCTTCTCAGCCTGCTTCAGCCACGTGGCGTCCACGTTGTTCTCCAGTTGCAGCAGCTGCACCAGGCTCTCCTCCGTCATGGTAACGGTGATGTTGAGATTGGCCGTTAGCACGCAGCTCTCCTCCCAGTGCTTGATCAGTTTCACCAGATTGGCGTCGTGCGTCACGCTCTCCGACGTCCTGGTCCTCAGGGCCTCGTAGTGCAGTATGGAGTTGCACGTGCTGACCACCATCGCGGCCAGATTGTGTTGCCTGGTCAATTTATCGCACGACGACAGCACCGCGTTGTCGAATGCGGACATGACTTCGCCCAGCGCCGGATTCGCGCCGGCAGCCCACTTGAGACGTTGTACAGCGCTCGAAACAAGATTCTGCTGTTGCTCGCGCGCCTCGCACACTCGCGACTGCAAGCTAGACAGTTTCGCCGCCTTCTTCCGTAACTCGAGCATAAAGGTGGAGCGATCTGAAAGAACGAAACGGAGAAGGGGATTATCATAAAATAACGTTGTTTTGTCAAATCGAGTTCGGTCAAAGGAGACTCACTCAGACGATTCATGGGATGCATCGGATTCATCGGACTCATCGGATTAATCGGGCTCATATTGGGCCTCATCATTAGAACGTCCTCGTGCAGCCAATGATAAGCCGTCTGTTGAAGCTGAAGCCTCTGAAGACTGACCCTGGCCACCTCGGCGCTCTGCTGCGCCAGTCTAGCAGCCTGCTTTCGCCGCCAGGTGCTCTCCAAGGTACTAATCAACGCGCCCGCTTGCGTAAGAACCGAGCCGGAGAACAAGCCCCTCTTGATGCACAAATCTACCATCTTCCGGCACAGCTCCTCGAGCGAGACCTTGCTCTCCGCCCCGATGTCCCGCTGCTCGATCTCGGTGGTGACATTCAGGCCCATTCGTTGCAGCAAGAGACACAGGGCGAGCGCCAGCGTTTGCGACATCACCCCGAGCAATTGCCGCGAAACGTAGTCGGCCGTGAACACTCGAACGGGCTTGTTGAGCCGTTCGTCGTCGTACACGTTCGCCAGTCCGCCCTTGAACGCGGTAGCGGTGTCCCTGCACATGACGAAGAACTCTTGTATGGTGCGCAGCCTCTTGATGAGGAATATGTCCTCGAGAATCTGCCGGATCGCCTTGTTGAAGATGGGCGCCAACATCATCTCCTTGGCCTCGCGTATCTGATCGATCTTCTTCCAATTGATCGGAACGTCCAAGGAGCTCAGGGTGGTGACCAATGCGTTACCTTCCACTTGCAATTTCTCGAACAAACCGTTGAAGCCCATCAGCAACATCTGGCCCGGCGTCAGAGTTTCCTCCTGGCTGAAATCCTGATCCTCCGCCTGGCGCGACAGCAACGCCTCGAATCGTAATCTCACGTTGGCCACCACGCTCTGTATTACCGCGTGCGGGCTCTCCATCTCCTTCATGACGAGCTCGAGATGCATCTCGAGCTGCGCCAGGATGTCACCGAGCGGTATTCCGGTAAGCATTACGATCTCGCCGAGCTCGTTTATCATTCGCATAACGCTCGGCTCCTCCGTGACGATGGTCTTGATCGCTTCCGGCAATATGATGGTCTGGAAGTTGTAGTTGAGCTCCTGCAGACCCTTGTAGATACAATCGGCGCTCTTGAGGCACTTGATTATCAGCGCGATCTTGGGATCGTTGTTGGTCTTGTGGTTCTCCGGTATTAGCGTGACCAGCTCGGCGATCAACGACGACATGAGACGCATCTCGTCGAGGTAGCTGTCCCCGTCGCGGGACGTAAGGTTGGCCAAGCAATCCCCGGCGCACTTGGCAGCGCCCTCCATCGTGAGGTATCGCTTGTTCAAGGCACACAGCGCGGTGATGTCGACGCACTCGAGCGCTCTCTCCGCGCCCTTCTCCCGTCGCAGAAATCCCGCGATTTGCGCCCTCGACTCGGCGCACGCCTTCTCGATTCTATTGCCGGCTTCCGGCAAGCCTTCGGAAACGGTCCTCTCGTAAGCTTTCTTGTATCTCTCGCTGTACTCGTTCAAGATGGCTTCCATCTGATAGGAGAAGGTAATTATCTGCTGAACCTGCGGAGTGCTCGGATTGATTGGGTTTAGACTCGCTTCGAGCCGCGCCATTACTCGGTGGCACGCGTCAACGGTGCCCGAGGCCAATAGCTCGTTGGCCCAAGCGTGATAAAGTACGGCGCGGTGCTGCGAGAGGATGCTGAGAGGGTACAGGCTGCAGATGGCGGAATACTGGCTCAACAGCTCCAAGCACTTGCTTATGGAGAAGGCCTGGTCGGCGGCCAGTTGCGTCAACTCGTTCTCCGACTGCTCGCATTGCACTATCATCTGACTTTGTCCGGCGTTCTGCAGGAACTCCTTGACCAGGTCGAACACTACGTTATCCTGCTGATTGGTCAGGGTTCCCAGTTCCGCCAGCCACTGTCCTAGCTGGGGACCTCGCACCGCGGCCAACGCGATCTAGAGTGCGAGAAAGGTGAAAAAAAAACGAAGCGATATATACAGTTATGGAGACTTGGTGGCGGTCTACTCACATTGTGCATATTAATCTGCTTCTCGCATTCCTCTATCTTCTCCTTCAGGCCCGCCTTTGCTTTCTCGTGAGAGTCCCGCGCTCGCTTAAACGAATTGTATCGCTTCACTACCGAATATAACGTGTGATTCCGACCCATCGCCTGCGCCTCCTTGACTAGCGCGAGCTGTTGATGTCGGTCCTGCAGCAAGTCCTGACACTGACGCGACTCTTCGGTCACCTCGATCCAGCTGTTCAAGTGATGGCACAGCAGCGGCAAGTTTTTCGCCAATTCGTCTCTGTAATTTTAAACGTAGAGTTTCACAAGTCGACTCCAGTTAGTTGGAATGAAATGGAACGGAATGAAAAGGGAAGAAGAGTGGAGAAAGAAATGTATCTCACCGATTAGCCAGCCACTCGGCGCGCATCTCCGCCGTTCTCACCGCAAACATCGCACGCGTCAGTTCCTGCTCCAGCTGTTTCCTTCCGACGCCGGTGCACCTCGCTCTGGCCTGGCAAGCGCCGTAACTCGCTATACTGGTGTCCGCACCCGCCCGCCAATCTACCAAAGGATCGTAGACAAACGCCTCCAGCAGGGTGAGGAGCGTCTCGCGGCCTCTACGCATCACTCTCAGCGTATGCTCGGAAGCGAACCTAAATATACCCTAGACACATAAAGAGCGATTTCTACCATTATATACCGTTCATGGCTGGGAGAATATAATTGGTATCACTCATGAATCTCGTCCTCGCCTTTCTCGATTGCGAACGAGCGGCTGATCGCCGATAGCTGATAGCGATAGTTATTTGCCAGGGGAACCACCAGATGAGTAGATAAGTAAAAGCACTCCCGAACCAACGGGTAGAGCAGCGTGCCGTATCTGCCGAGAAAAACGTTTCGTATCGATCTACGCTCTCGTCGAGCGTCATCAGAGCTTGTGCGAATGCTATTGCATCGTCATCAACATTAAAGTCTAAAAGTGACGGAGAGAAAAACCAACGAGACTGCGAGGTCAACCATCTTTCGTTTTCTCATTTCTCATAGTCGCGCGGGACGATTAATTAGCCTTTCGAACGTTTCGTAGGTTTACGTAATCGTGATGCGTGGCTCGATGTGTATCTTGGCATACACATATTTCATAGAGTACCGTCGGAAACCCGTTTCTTTCCGTGTGTATGTGCGCCCGTGCGTGCGAAAGGTAAGTCGTATTAGCTGCTCGATTACGTTTCGCGTTTCTCGCTTTCGTGTTTCCGCTAAAGAAATTGTTCCGATGGCTTTGACGCGACGAGAGACGAGAGGTGTGACTTCGCGAAACATAAATAGCCATGGCAAGCGCGTTTCATATCTCTGCAAATAAACCGTATCCGCGTGCGAGCTTCCTCATCCCTCAATTTCCAGTGCATTTAGCACTATTTAATCGTCAAAGGGAGAGAACGAGCTTAAAATTACAAGTTGATCTCTCTTTTCAGAACCATGTACACGAAAGAGAGCAACTTGTCGGGAAACAGCGCCGGAGCCGCACCGGAGCAGGAGAGCCACGTATTTTGGATCTTGATGGACTGTTTCCTGTTCGTTGCGATCGTATTGGGAAACGTCCTCACGATACTGGCCATCGCGTGGGCTCGCAGGCTCCGAAACGTCGTCTCGAATTACTTTATCTTAAACCTAGCGGTGTCGGATCTTATGGTGGGCGTGACGCTTCCATATCACTTGGCGTTTTACGTGGACGGCACGTTACATCGCAACAAGTCGGTATGCATCTCGCGCTTCGTCATGTTCAGCCTGGCGTGCGGCGGGAGCATATACAATCTCATAGTGATCGCCATAGACCGATACGTCGCGATCGTGCATCCGTTGAGCTATAACGCGTACGCGACCAAGAGGCGCGTGATGCTGATCATAGTTGTCGCTTGGATATGTACCATGGGCATGTCATCGATGCCGATTTATTGGAATAGCTTCGACACCTCGAAGATGTGCGAGTTGGAAACGGTATTACCGAGGTACTGCAACGAGTTTTCTCCCTCCTCCTCCAGCTAATCAATTCAAGCTTACTTTACGTCGATATTATTACGTAATTCCTCCTTACGTAGTTATTCCTCGATTAATCGATCGGTCGGTTTCTTATCTCTCAATTCTCAATGCAGCTTCACGCGCGACCGCCAGGATTGCCAATCATAAATTACATTATTTCGATAGATACTACGTAGTGGCTATACAGATGCCGGCATTTTTTCTCAGCTGGATAGCCATGTTTTTGCTGTATTGGAAAATCTGGCGAGAGGCGCATATGCACGCGCGTCGCATGAATCTCGGCATCGTCCCGAACTTGGTTGAAAAGAACGATCGCAAAAGCGTACAGGTATTTAAATCACACGTGTAGCAGAAAGTTGGAAGCTTTACAAGCGTAGCGATAGTTAAATAACGTTTAGATTTTGTTTAATTAGGTGGTGCTGCTGATACTGGGTTGCTTTTCGATCTGCTGGTTCCCTTATTTCGTCGTTGCTTGCATGCGAACCTTTGGTTGGAGAAACTCGACGACGACATGGTACAAAGCCACATTCGCATTGGCTATCGCCAACAGCGGGATGAATCCTTTCATATACGCGTGGAAAAACACCAACTTTCGCAAGGCCTTTCAAAAGATTTTACATTTTAAGTCGCCCAATGACAATTTCAATTCGAGCTTCAAAATGTACTTGGAAAAACAGCGTGGACTACAAAGCCAGGTAGATGTACAAGACAATCACCGCACAAATGGAAACGACAATGCGCACGGACATTCACCTAATCCCCAATCTGAACGCACAGAAGAGAGTAGAACGGAGAACACCAATGTCTAAATCCTATTTCATTGTGTTAGCTAAAAACCATGTTGAGCTAAAAAGTATTTAATAAAGAGAAAAATTGTAAATTACTTTGTTCTACGTGTGTATATTATATATCGCTCTAGAAACTCAAGATGTTGAAATGAAAAAATTATAAAAGTATAGAATTGCAATGGCAAGAGACATAGGAAAAAATTTAGTCTATCGTCACCTACCTCGACCCCGGTCACTCCTAGAGCCGTTTTGATATTTGGCGTCATACGGAACGGCACCTTCTCTGGAACGCGAAGGGTTTTTCCTTTCTCGAAGCAGACATTGTAATCGATGTGCACAACTTGGCCGGTGTTAAGATCGACGAGAACATTGTCCAAATGCCTGTCGCCTAAACCTATGATGTAGCCGATAATGGACATGACCGCAACGGAGTACGAGTAGTTTTTGGTGGCTTGCCACCAGCTGCCAGCATTGATACTGTTGCACCAGATCTCTCTGCAACATTCGGGATGGTAAGAGAGAGAGAGAGAGAGAGAGAGAATAGTAAGATTTTCAGTAATTACAACTAACTTGGCCAGCAGATCCTTCGGAGTCTCCCTCATTAGTTCCTCCAATACTTTTTTCAGCACGTGCACAGGCCACTCCTTTCGATTCTCCAAGCCGATCCCGCACTCCTTGAGCAACGGCGTCAACTTGTTGTAAAACAGCTCCGACGGTCGCATAATCGCCGAATTGCCACCAGCAGCCTTGCTGTTTACGGCGCACTCGCGCTGCTGCCAACGCTTGTAGAGTATAAACAGTGGCGTCACGCCGTCGACCCACTGAATAAGACCGGATCTAGGACCCAATGGAATCACCGAATAGTGCCGCGCTCTGTAGACCTTCGTATCGCTGTTCTTCGACATCATGGTGTTACATATGCTCAGGAATTGCATTATCCTCTCGTCCAGATGCAAGTCTTCCAATCCCTTGAACAGGTACGTGTAAACGTGACCGTCGGATCCGTGAAACATGAGCTTCTTAGGCTTCGTCTTTGTCGGTAGAATCTGAACGTTATTATCTACCGACATGATGGTGACGATCCTGTTGTCGACAGCGGCGACGCCGGGCATCGCGATGCAAGTGTCCTTCAGATTCGCCAGGACGGGACTAATGTCCGTCATTGAGAGGGAATAAGCGGCACGTCGGTGGACGCGTTGCGCCAACTTGCTCTCCAAGTGTTTCAAAGCCAGGCTGGCCATTTGCGGCTTGGCCGGATTCTTGGGATTGTTCAGTCGATTTATCACCTCCTCGATGGAAGCGCCAAACTTGTCCTGAAAGCTCTTTTCGTGCGGCGTCTCGGCTGGTACGGACGTCATAGCTAGCAGATTCTCCAATATAAACGTGATTGGTTTCAAAATGATTCTGTGCTTCTCCGCGATCAATTTATCCTTCTCTTCGGGCGCGAGCCAGGCATTGTCCTGCACCCGTTGAATCTCGACCTCTAGCTGCTCGAATCGTTTGGTAATCTCAGTGTGATGTTGACACAACGTCGCCAACCACAATTCGTCCCACAGCAACGTGATTCGTCTGAGCTCCTTCACCAGCACTTTTGCCTGTACCACCGAGTCCTGGATACGGCCGGAGAGACAATCGACCAACTGCGAGAAATAGGAATCCATCAAGCTCTCGTGCTCGCCGTTGTACATGCCTACCGACTCCTCTTCGTCCTCCTTGTCCTCCCCTTCCACCTCCTCCTCGTCGTCCTTGTCGTCGTCGTCGTCGTCGACGTTGTTGTCGTCGTCGTCGCCGTCACCGTCGCCGTCGCCGTCGTCGTCGTCCTCGTCTTCCTCCTCCTCCCCCCGCTCGTCCGCGGCAACGTCCACGTCCACGTTCGGTGAGCTATCGTTGTCGTCGGCGTCGGCGGTCTTCTCGTAAACGACCTTGTCGTAAATCTTCTTCTGGCCGGACACCGCGCCCACAACGGCCGGAAATGTGATCAAATGCGGCGAATTCTCCGCTACTCGGCACAGTAGCTCCGACACACGAGTCCTTACGTACGCCTCGGGATGGCTGAGCCTCGAAAACAACTGCGGTATAATCTCCTTCCACGGTGCAGTCGGGGTAGTCGAGAGACCGGCCTCGAGCACGTTCTGCAACTCGAGCGCGTGCTTCACCACGAGTCGCAGCAGTCTCAACGTCGCCGCGATAGTGTCGCACTCGTTACTGTCGTTGTTCGCCAATTGCAAATACTTAAAGTACGCGTTCGCCGAGAGCTCGTAATACGAGTAGATCCTCTTCTGCGCCTGCCGCCAGATGTCGACCAGCATGCCGAGATGTTCGTTGCTGGCGTGGCTCAGGACCGACGCGTTTCTCAGTTGATTCTCTATCATGTCGGATGTGTTTATGTCGTTGGTGTCGATGTCACCCTCGTCCTCCGGTATAGTCTTGTTCTGGCTGAGTATAGAGAAAATGGCGTCGAGATCAGCCTCGGCAATGTCGCTCGGCAGCAAGGATTGTATGTGCGTGCGGTCGGTATCCGTCAATTGGCCTGAATTGGAGTTGTCGACGATTTTCCGGCCCCATTTGTAACACCAAGCGGCAAAGCTGGACCAGGCGCGCGGCAAGTCCGGACACTGATTCACGCCAAGCTGCATCAGTTTGCCGATTATCATGTCCGACGTAGGGATCAGATCGATCGTCTCGCCAAACAGCTTGCTCATCAAGCCGTCGTTGTGCACGGCTTCGAATCTGAGCAATTCTTCCAATTGAGGATTCTCGTCGACGTTTGCGTCCTGCTGGATCCATTTACCCAGGGTAAGCAGGAGCTTGGTCCCCGTCTCCCGTAAGTCGGCGGACTGCTCGCCGCTGACAATCGCTTGCGAGATTCCCAACGCGGTCGCGCAGCACATCCTCAGAGCCTCGCTCGTCTTGTCCATGTCGTAGAGCAACTTGGACAATTCCCTGAACGCGCGCATACTACTCTTGGTCCATTTCACGTCAACAGGCCCGTTCAGCATTCCGCACGTAATCTCGGTAAAGGTGTAGCCGGTCGGATTCTTGAGCCGGATCAGATCTCGCTCCGACTTCAAGTACTTGATCATCTCCCGTTTGGCCAAGTTGAAGTTGCCTTCCTTCCGGGCCGTTCTGACGACGTGTAATCGCAGGCAGTCCACCTCCGTGGTGGAGCCTTCGTTGTCGCACGCTCGATCGAGGTACTCGGACCACCACAAGACTTGCGTTAAAGTGTTGGAGTTGATATTGTTGACTTTATCGACCTTGTACAGCTCGAAAACGTTGCTCCCGGCCTTGTTGCCACGCACGAAGCTCTTGAGCCCCGTCGCGGAATATTGGAGCAATATAGCGTCACTGAGATACTCCGACGGCACATTTCGCAATCCATCCTGCATCATCTTGGCCGCGACTCTCTGACACTTGTCGACAACGCTGTCGCACCACGAGCCATCGAACGAGTCGTCGAATACGTTTTGGCGAATCCTCAGCGCAACGTTGGTCAAACTGTTGCTGCACGAGACGAGCGTTTTCGCGCAGCTCCAATTACTTTTCCTCTCCTCGTCCAGCAGATTCCAATTGGTCAACTCGTCCAAGGAGATTAGCTTACCCTCCTCGAACTTTTTCAGACAATCCGCCTGCTGCGGTACAATATTGTCAGCGAGTTGCCTCCTGAGAACGGCGTAATTGTCTTGCGTCAACATCTCGGCCTCCCGCGACTTCCATTCGGCTAGTCCGGACCAGTCGCTGACCGCCTTGTAACAGTTGGCGAGTCTCTGCATGCAGAAACCGAGCACTTGATTGTCGCTCTCGAGTCTCGCGGCGGCGCCTCTGCCGCTTTCGTCGTCGGTCGTTTTAACGCGAGCGTGTTCTTCGATCGTCAGCCTGTAGGCATCCGCCGCTGACTCGTAACGCCCGGCGGCCTCCTCCATTGTCGCCTTCAGCCACGGGAACTGCCTGTCCTTGCCCTTGGCGTACACGTAGAGGCCCTGCAACGCCTCCGCTTCGCCGAGCGCGACCATCGCCTGCGCCGTCCACAACGTCGCCCTCTCAAACTCGATGCTCTGCGTATTATCGGCATTGCTCAGGTCCTCGAGTAACCTCTGGCCGCTTCGCAACGCGCTCGTCGCCAGGCCCGAGTGCAACGAGACCACGCACAAGGCCAGTCGTATGCGATTCAGCCATTCCCTACACGTCGACTTGTTGGTGTGGAAAAAGGTTCTCACTGGCTTCGACAGCGGCAAGAGCGCCATCGCGCAACCGTCGGCCGCGTTGTGAATCACCCTCTCCAGATGTTCCAGGAACTCGACCAAGAGCCGTACTCGCGTGTGCTCGTGCAAAATACGATCCAACTCCTGCCTCTCCCTCCTTACGACGTCCACCGTGTTGTGACAGGAGACCTCGCGAGCCAGAATCTTGAGGGCACTCTCGATCGATGTAAACGTTTCCTGCGGCTTCCCCAAAGAGGTGCGAAGCTTGTTGAGGACGCAGTGCTGCGCCGCCTCGAATCCGCTCCAGAAAAACAGGAAGGAACAATTCGCCAGCGCCAAATCGTACATCCTCGCCGTAGTTTCGTTCTCCGGCCTGTCAATAACCACCATATGTATATATGGTCAACAAACGCACACATATGTATATATAATAGTTTCGAGAAGAAAAGTTCAAGTTAAAACTTACACGGCCGACCAGCACAAGGTAAATATCTCCGACAACCCAGATGCGTCGAGATAATGTTCCTGCAGTAGAAACGCCATGTACGTTTTGAAATGTTGCGCCAGCAATTCCCCATTGTTGTTACCTCGCATGTGCAGTCTTTGAGCGAGCATCAACGATTCTGTCGAGTAAGTCGCGATCTCCCGTGCCTTCTGCAAACAGTCGAGCATGAAATGAGAAAAAGAGATGTCACGTATGTACTCGACATTTCGAGAAAAAAATGGCCAACTTACCTTGGTGTCCGAGAACAAGTACTGCTTGTTTAATTTCGGTATAACGATGTTAATGGGCATACACATTAGCAGCGCACCGTATCTTTCGCGGATCGTCTTGTTGCACGAGGTCAAGTGCAGCGTCGCTAGATCCACGATGCTCGAGTAGATCTCTTGCTTCCACACGACATTCCTCGCAGTCATTAACATTTCAAAGAGATTGCACGTCGCGCTCGCGACATTATCGTTGGTCGTGGCGGCGCAACTAATTAAACTCGCAATGATACTCTGGCACTCCTGAGTTACGCTCAAGATCCCGATATATTTCTCAGACTGTACGCAAATCTCTTGCAGCCAGGTGGACAAAAGTAGCAAGGTGCACGCGGACGTATTCTTGTTGTACGTCTTTGATATCAAATTGAGAATTATAGACAAATGACCGCTGGCTGGTGACGTGGTTGGTACGTCCAAGGTACCGGGGAACATATCCATCGGACGACAAGCGCCGGTGCCTGTTATCAAGCTGGAGCTTGGGACGAAGTGATTATACCTGTTTAACAAGTTTACACGGTTTCACAATTTCGCACATGGCTCGAGAGAGACGGCTCGTGAAAGAAAGGATCACTCGGGACAATAAAATCTTACCTGGAACAATGCGCATAGAGCAAGTACAGAATATTGTATTGCAAAAAGGGGCTGGCTGTCGACAGGGCGTTGTCGTATGGCTTCAACTTGACTGCGACAAGTTCCAAGATACTGGGCTTCAAAGCCCACATTCCGATAATCGAATTGCTAGCGTTTGCTAAAAAGAAGTAAAAAAAAATGGATTTGAAATTGATTATCGATTAGGAGTGATTTCCTTCGAAGGCCTCGACATTCCAACTTTCGAAGCTTGGAAAAATTTATTCAAAGAACATAAAAAGTATCAATTTATATATGATAAAAAATTTCTATACATGTTAAAGTTCTCTTTTTTAATTGTTACAATTATATTGTTTTTAATCTTGGACACATTTGATTACTACCTGACTTTGTTATGTAAACTGACGAACGTAACGAAACTTATGTACACATTACGAGCATAATGTATTCTCGCCATGAAACGAGAAATAAGTTTTACATTCGTATTAACAATTGACTAATTACTCGCGTCAATGTCATATCCATCTACTGATTTCATCACTTTTGCCTCAGCCTCGACAGATATTAATCATTTTTTAAATATTGACGATATTGTGTGGTCGATAAAAAATTCTATTTATTTAAAATGTTTCTATATTAAATATTGTTCAAGTGAATGTACGTGATAGACGTTAGAAACCCAAGTAATATTGAGATAAATTTTAAATAAATAAAATTATTAATTAGCGATATAATCTGCAACAAATTTATGGAAACTTTCACAGGTAGTAATCAAAGTGTTGATACACGATACTTAATTGATTTGCTTGACCATTTTTGAAGATTTAATTACGCGAAATGTTATAGTACTTGAAAATTATAATTTACAACTACCTATTTCTCAACATGTATGTATAAATAAGTACTTTTGATTAACAATATTTTTAGTGTTTAAAAAAAAATTGGCATGAATAAATTTGTCGAAGCTATGAAAAGTAACAGCCCTATTATCGATAGGTAGCGTAGCTCGCTCACCTATGTCCGAGAGCGCACGTAGGATAAACGTAACTACAATCTCGACGTCGCTCTTGGTGTATCTCAAGTCGTTCAAGGGATTGTCGGCGACCAAGACATCCATGTCGGGTAGTATGAGCCTGTAAGCAATCTCTAAATCCGCTAGTATATACCGATACGATTCCTGCAACAATGGAATATTCTTCAAGCTCAGCAGGCTATGATACACCCCCAGACTGGCGTTTTGAATAGGAATGGAATTTCGGAATCTCAATTTCAGCAGCATCGAATTCTTGCCGAGTAACGTGTGCACCAATTCCAACGGCAAGTTGGCGGATACCTCCTTGATTATTTTCGATATGACGGTCAACATTGAAATAATAGTGTCATCCCAAAAGATGTCGACTCTCTGTAATTGAAGGTCGACAAATTTGTAGAGAAGCTCGTGATTCTTTGCAACACGGCTCTGAAGATAACCGAGAAGGAGGAAGGCGCATTCATTCGCGACCACGATCAATTCTTCCTTCTCTTCCGACAAGTTTTCCATCTGTGCGACTTGCGGTTCCATCGAGCGCAACAATACGCTTGTCAACAACTGTCCCTTCTCCTTGGACAGAGGGTAGCCTTTGTCAGGAGAAGCAGGCGTCACCTTGGAATTCTTGTTATCATTTTTCTTACTTGTGGCCAGTGACCTCGCCATCTTAATAAGATTCTCCTCGGTAAGTTCATCTTTACCAAAGTGTTTGGAAAGCGCCTCGACATGTTGCTGCGACGAGCTGACGTTTCTTATACTCTTGCTCAAGTGTTCCGCGTTATTGAATATCTCGGGCCAGGTGTTGTCAGTCTCCTGTTGCAATTCAATCGCTTTGACAACGGTCTTGAGCATCTTGGCCAGGCAATTGGTGAGAAATGACCACTGCACGTTGGGAGACGCAAGATTTGGATTCAAATGCTCGGCTATGCTCTTGGTCACCGTGTTAAATACGGATATCAACGATGTGATTCGCAGGATGCATTCCCGCGGTGTCGGGGATTCGTCGTCGCCGGGCAAAGTGGATTTCGGCGAATTCAATTCCTCGTCATAGCTCTCCATATCCTCCAAGAATTGGCCGAGTAGCGTCAAGGTGAACTGCAGATCCGCTATCCAGAATGAGCGCAACTTTTGTAAACACCGACTCGCGTAAAGGACAACAGACTTTTGTTGCGTGGAATCGATGTGCCAACCCACTAGTATGTCGACGGTGTTGCGGAAGTGGTTGGTGAAGGTCTCCGGGTAGGAATCTATGATGAGTAATATAGCGTCCACAGTCGCCACCAGCAGATCTGCTTTGTCGACATTTTCTAATATCGATTGTAATTGGGACATGATCGGCTGCAACGCCAAGACATTACGATTAACGAGACATTTACGCTGAATGACGGGAGCGGAAAGGTTGGTAGCATTAATTACCACGGAGAATTCCTTCAACTTGGATATCTCAGAGTCCATCTTGAGCGTCTCGATGAGTGACCTCATTAGTAGACATTTGACATCATTTTTATGTTCCACCGAGTATTTGCCAAAGAGCCAGTCCATGTATCTAGAAAAGAGTGATGCTCGATAAGTTGAATCTTTTGCCTGGAGAAAGGACGGCGCGAACGGAGGTATATAGGCCACCTTTTAAAATCTTGGTCTACCACATGTCCAATTCGACCCAAGCATTTTGCAACCTGTTGCTTCGCCTCCTGGCCAGGACCAGAGTGCAAAAAATCCAACAGACTTTCGCAGATTGTCTCCAAGTTGCGTCGTACGTATCGCTGATTTTCAGGTGCAATGATACCTTCCTGCACTTGCTTGCAAAGCACCAATAGATGGTCGTAGTCATCCTCGCGGCACAATCGCCGCAGAAGCTTAGAAAGAGTCCTCGAGTCCTCTGTAACAAGCGCGGACTCTCTTTAGAGAGCAAGATACGCAATGCAAGGGTATTGAGCGAAAAGTACAATTATACCATTTATTCTTTTATCGTCATAGTATTTGCCCTGCGCGTTCTCGTGGTTTTTCAACGATTCTTGAAACTTGGGTCTAGATGTAGAGTGATAGCTGGACTCTGAATTGGATTCGCGATCGTTGAGAGTCTTTTTAAAGGCTCTCCCACGCGTCCCGCCCCTGGCGCGATCCGCGGAGCTGCCACCGCGCGCCATTCGAAATTCATTTCTCGGGACACCGCTGAATCTGTCGCAAACATTTCATTTCATCTCAAGAATACAAGCGAGCAGAAATGTGGCTGAAAGGAAGGAGAAGAACCTACCTCGGCTTAAATCTAGCAAAGCCGTGATCCGAAGAGTACGAGTTTCGCTGACAAATGACCAGGGTGCTGCGTGGCACATTAAGATCATTTACACTGTAACCACTTATCACGCCACTGCCCTCTTTGTCTATTTCCCCTCCCTGATTAACAGACTCGTCCAGAGTCTCGGCGCACTTGGAACTACGTAGCCTCGTGCTAGTATTAGAGTTCCCACAGCTATTCATTACATTACTCTGCAAGTGGTCTGCATGACCCACACTTGATGAATGTATAACCTGCAGTTATCTAGAGATTATCAAGAGAGATTATTAATTGTTATCAAATCTCTCTATCAAATTTCGTTTCTCTCTCGAGAATTGTACATAGTAAAAGAAAGAAAGAAGCTATTATCGCAACGAGCATTTCTCTAAATTGAGTGCAAGTTGCTACTCCATCGCGTGGAGTAGCGCTACACGATACAAGCTATGGACAAGTTGAAGGACATTGATGGCGCGTTCTCGACTACACGCATCTTTCACGCAGGCAGCATCTGTTGCTGATAACGCTTCCCTCTCCACCCTCTCCACCCTCTCAACCCTCCTGAAACTCCGAGCAGAGCGTTTAGGTATACGAAAAATCACTTCTCACCGATCTCGGGCAAACAAACGTTGGGCTGTGCAGAATCCGAGTGTGGCCAGCAAACTTGTCGCTTCGTATCGCCTCGCCAAGATACACGGGCGAAAATTCCAATTTCGAGGTTAGGAGAGGACACATTAGTATCCACTGCCTTGGATTTTTGTCCTTCTAGACGGTCGCGCAGCGCGGAGTGCGGGGTGTGCGGCGTGCCGGGCGTGCGGTCTTGGAATCACCATGCAAATCATGTAGATGGGGACTCTAGTAGCACGCGCGCCATCTCACATCACTTTCGACTAGGGAATAACACACGACGACCAATCAACATCTCGTTTTTGTCCCGCGGAAAACTATAAGCAGGGTTCGAGTCTCTGCTAAACGAGAATAGATTATATTCTCTTTTTCTTGAAATCTATTTGATGCACAGAGACAAGAAGGGTATAACAAGGGTATATATATCTCTCTCTATAAATGAATTTACTTTCAATACATATGGTAGCAACAGAATCACGATTAAAAATGTCAACTACATTTCGTAACGCGTTGCAAGGTACTAATGTTGCCCAGGAACTCCTTTGTCATTTTCTGGCTGTACTTCGGGTGTGTGCGGCCAAATGGTTGGGTTATCAGGGTTTATAGCGAGTTCCGGATAGGCGTCTCGAAAATCTTCCATCGTCATCTCAGAGAATGGCAACAAACTTTTGATTCTCTCCATTTCCTTATTGGCATCGCTGATACGTTGATTCGAGCTTTTGATAAATTCCTCGATTTGAACAAGCTGCAATAGATAGATCATTTAACGTAACGATACATATGCAATGCGACAACGTGTTATACCATTTCCTTTTCCTGAGCCTCTATGTCCGAGGTGTATTTATCCGCTGGATATGGCACTTTGAAAGATTCGTATTCCTTTTGAAACTTGTCGACTAATCCAGATACCAGGACATTTTTCTTATAGTACGCCCAATCGATCTTTGGAGGAGTCTCAGGATTGGCGTTCATTCTGTAACGACAAAGACGTTACTAGCCATCCCTTGAAATAGCTTAATTAATTGAGGAATACGTGTATTATATAACGGCTTATGTGCACTGACCGTCGCAAGTGTTGATCAGACTTGGCTTTGAAAGCGGCGAATGCAACCTTTTCCGTCTCTGGGAGTGTTTCGGCGAGCGCCGACCAATTGATCGTCTTGATCGCCCTACGTGACATTTTCTCCGGCCGTTAGCTCTGGTTAGCTCGCACTAATTACCGCTCCTGACTGCTCCGCAAGTCGAAACTTGCCCACCGTCTGTTGTTGTTGTATGTAGCTGATGCACAGATGCAGTGCTACCAAAATTCAAGTATATCGATCACGCGCAATCGAACGTGCGAATAGAGGTAAAAAGCTCGCGTGACCAACTTGATATCTCGATATATCGACTCCATGGACAAAATCTTA